AACCACTTGCGAGGCAAGGGGGTCTTTCCCCCCCCCCCCCCCCCTCTACCAAGCAAATCCATTAACAGACCACCATGCATAATCTAAGACTCAAGCAGCCAAAAGTTACCTTTTACCAACCACTAGCCATGCACCAAGTGGGTAACATTACCCTGTAAAGATTGACTGTGGGGAGGAGGAAAGTAGAAGAAAATGCAGAGGTGAGCCCATCTTCCAGTCCTGAGGTAACTGCTGACTCTGCACAGTGACTATAGAGGTGAAACGTCATTGGCTAGCTGGTTTCCTGATGGTACATCTGTCACAAAGCCTATGCTCAGTTAAATCTTCCCACCAACAGTACGGCTGTAACCTTAACTGCTTAACGGGAGCCTTTTAGATGCGGATGGGAGTTTTAAAACATCCACTACTGGCTTCTGAGCCGCTGATGACAGCTATGAATTTAACGAGGACAGTCTGGGCAACAGTTCTGGTATCAGCGACCATGAGCTTATAGCAGAACTGTAAATGCCAGTGCTGTAAGGCATACTGACCTGGACAGCTGGGAACAGTTTTGTTCTGCCTTTATGGTGGTGGCAGCAAAAGGGTTAAAGATTTTGCTTGTTGAGCAAGCAAGGGATCCAAGGATTTTTATGTTGGAGTTCTAAAATTTGAATTTGGGCTCGCAAGTAATCTCTAATACGCTGCTACTGTTTCTTCTTGTGAGACCCCAGTTTGATAAGAAAGCCTCGAACAAATGCCTTGTGTGCGTTCCAAAGTGTTATGGAGCTGGTGACAGAAGGGGAAGTAGTGTGAAAGAAGTGTCGCGATTCAGACTGGAGATACTCTTTATGGGCAGGGTTAGATAGGATACTAGCATTCATTCTCCACATAGTGGGAGGCCTGTGAAGAGGGTCTGGAGATAGGGGCATGATCCGACCAAGTTATTTGTCAAATATCAATCTTGGACACTTGGAGAGTAAATTTATCGGTCATGCAAAAGTATAATTTTGCCACTTTATAGATCATTGGTTTGACCTCATCTGGAGTACACGGTCCAGTTCTAGTCACCTGTACTAAGAAAAGATGTCCTTGAGTTGGAAAAAGTCCAGCGGAGGGCAACCAAACTAATTAGGGGTATGGAGGATCAGAGCTACATGACAAGGCTACTAAATTTAAACATGGTTCACATTGGAGGTGAGGAGATTAAGGGGGGATATGATCTCCATGTACAAAATGTTCAATGGTGGTAGCAACATTAGCGATAAACTGTTTAAAATTAACTCCATTACAAAAACTAGAGGCCACCACCTAAAATTGGTGGAAAAAAAAATTCCAGCACAAGGGGCGAAGGGGGTTCTTCACAGTAAGATCAGTTAGGGTCTGGAACTCACTGCCACAGGCGGTGATTTCAGCAAATAATGTGGAATTGTTAAACTTTTAGACGATTTAAGGGACTGCAATATACAGGGGTACAGGTACTCCTAGAATGAGATCCTAATAGGTTGGACTTGATGGACTAATGTCTTTATTCAACCTCAAATACTATGTAACTATGAATAAAACCAGTATGAAGTACGAATTCTGAGTTTGAGGAAAGTGTAATCCCGTTCCATGTAAACACCTCCATATATCATACAAATACTGAGTATGTAGGAAAGTGGACAGGGATTGATCAGGGTGTCTTTTGGGCATGGATGAGTCAACATCAGGTTCTACAACAGTATTAAAGTCCGCCACAGAGGATAAGATGACCTTTACGTATGGGGGACAGGTTGGCCAGTATGGAAGAAACATTTTTCCTGTGGTGTGTATGTGGAGCGTATAAGTTAACTAAAGTCACTAGGGTAATTTTTAAGGAGGCTACTAAGATAACATATCTACCATTAGGGTCGGTATAAAGGACATGTTGAAAGGCTACAGAGTTTTTAATAGCAATCATAACTCCCTAACTTTTTTTTAATCTGAATTGGCAAAAAAGTAATGGAGGAAGCCCTTCAGCTTGCAAGTTGGGTGTTTATCTTTCTGAAAGTGTGTCTCTTGAACACAAAGTACATCACATTTCAGAGAGTTGCTTGCTTTCCAGAGCATAGATCGTTTACACAAATGATTGAGCCCCTTTTAAAAGGAGAACTATGGGGTTAAGGCTTTTCCCCATAGTTCTCCTTAGGGTAACGGGAGGACACAAACTAGCGTCCTCCTGTCACCCTAAGCTCAGTATACCGCGAGCTACAGCTCGTGGTATATTGAGATGCTGAAGCGGATCCCGACAATTATGTTTGGACCCGCCCAGCTGCGTGAGTAACAGCTGGCTCTGCCTATCTAGAGGCAGAGCCAGCTGTACCCGCCCCCTTCCCCGTCTGTTCCGCCAGTCAGCGCTGGCGGATCGGAGCGGGGAATCCTGTCACGGCAGAGGGCTGTGACAGGATCGAGAGGTGAGCGAACGCCGGTATATGTTCGCTCACCTCCCGATCTACTGAGCCGACCTGTGACAGTCTCATTGTCACAGGTCGGCTAGAACTATGAGGTGAGAGAAAAACACTCACCTCATAGTTCTCCTTTAACATTAAGAGAGCTGATTTTAATGGACATGATGAGGAAAAGGGGTGTTAAAAGGTGTCACTGTGAAATGAAAATAGAGGAAAGGACCAGGGGGAATAAAAGCAGAGCAGAAGGAGGGAAGTAAGAACAAATGAGACATGCATAATCACTCAATGCAGGTGAGAAATATCAGCAATAAATGAGAGAACATATCAATGTAATCGTACTTGTAGATAGACAAGTTATATAAACAAACCAAAAGTATGGCAACAACATTATAGTGTAATAGAACAATAAACCTGTGTGCTTAGCACACTATTAAGCGGGGTGTATGGGTTATGTTCCAGAAGAAAAAAAACAATTGAAATCTAAGCACTGTAAACAGTAGTATGTATAGTCCTGAGAAGTGTAATACGACACCATCCAGTGGTACATATGTAAAATTGCAGGACTCCAGAAATAGGATGAAAAGAGATTGGAGGGGCGATCAGCAAGTAGACCAATCAACTGGCACCCTTGTTGGTGTGGTGCGTTCAGCCTGTATAGGAGGTAACATGATGGAGATTCACCATGATTGGAGTTGCTTCATGCCATCTGCAGGTGACAGGATAGGGATTACAGCATGTTGGTAGGAAGCTAGCAACTTAGTGGGAAATCCCCATTTATACAGGATTTTGTTATCTCGCAATGCTTTTGGTTATAACTGCAAACTTCTTCCTTCTTTTTGCTGTAGCTGCTAAAATGTCTGAATATGGAGATATGTCTATAAGGAGCAGGAAGCAGTGGAGATAGGGTTGCCACCTTTTCTTCAAGCGAAACCCGAACACACTCTAGCGACGTGCTGACTTTTTTTGGGAGATTGAGTCGTGGCTTATGCATATGTAAATATGTAGATATCACAATTGAGACTATTTTCAGTGGGGGGCCAGTAGCCCCTATCTTAATTTTGGTTTCCCCTGTCTGCCTGACATCTTGTGTCCGGGTTTCTGCTGCCATGAACCCCGGACACAGCATTCAAATCCTGGACTGTCCGGGTGAATCCTGGACAGGTGGCAACCCTAAGTGGAGACTTCTTCCATCTTTCATGGCATGGCTTCCAATGGCAATGAATGACCAGCTGTTGTGTGAGGGGAGGGAACAGGCTGTTTCTTTTTACTTACAGGTGCCTTGGTAGATGGAGACTGCAGAGGAAAGCTGGCAGGTCGTTTGCTGGTATCTTTTGAAGATGAGACAGGGTCAGCAGAGCCGTCCTCTATGTCTGATTCATGGCTGGAGGAGAGTGACTGTGTGCCTGGAGATGCTGGCATGTGTGAGGGGCCGTTTTGGCGGCGGGAAGCGATGGGAGAAAGCTCAGAGCGGTGTCAGACGAGGAGGCGGTGCGATGTAAGGCATGAAGCGTGCGGCGTGTGTGGAGCCGGGAACAGGGTAACTAATCGAAAGCCAACTAATCAGTGATGGGAAACATTGACAACGTTTACCATCATCAATTTTAATTGACTTAGTCGATGAGGTGGCATGTTCATTCCCAGGTTTAAGTCTTTAAACCCTGTGGCATGATCGCCAGGTTGAAAGGCTTTCATAACAACAACATTGATTGAGACAGTCTTATGAAGTAAGCTCTGAATCTGAGGTTGGTCTCAGAAAGCATACCTTGAGTCTGTGGTAGCAGGTCTATGGCTTCTTCACGAAGAGGAGAATCATCTTGCACAATGACTGGTGTTGAAGACTCTGATGAGTTTCCAGAGAGGTTCACTGCTTGTGAAGTTACTGGAGTGATGCTTGAGGAATCAGGTGCGTTGTCCCAGGTGTTTGCATCAGTGGATTCCTACTCGTCCGAGCTGTTGAAGGAAATCTGGTCCGTATTCTTACCAGAACTATTGCAGGGTGGTGTTGTGATGTTGCCTTGGTTTACCTGTACAATGATCTTATTGGAGCACACATTACCTCATGAGGCATGAGGTTCGCAATCTCGTTCGACTCCAATAAGTACCCAACCTAGATCAGTCCTTTAGGCATAAGGATCTTCATTCCAGCCATTGTGCTGCTGACGTACCTTGTGTACTCTCAGGATGTCTCTGCCTAAGAGAAGCATTATTTTGGCATCGTTGTCCAGTGGGGAAATGTAGTCAGCTAAATGTTTTAGGTAAAAAACAGAAAAGATGGCGAGCGCACTACCGGTGGGAAGACTGTGAGCAGATTTGCGTGAGCAAGCTACTTAGCCAGGGAGAGGTACCCTGTGGACAAGTGTAAAAAAGCAAAAAAAGAAGCGCTGCAACCCGGATATTTGTCTTATTAAAACAGATTATAAACCTTACAATGGTATCTGCAAATAGGGACTCACTTTTAGATGCACGAGATGTTGTCTTGCCGATGGAGGGTGGGTAATGTTGTAGGCTTGAAACAAGGGCTCATGCGGCTGATCTGTGCGGATATGATCGGAGACTTGTCGATTCTTATTTAATCCCTTGATGATGGAGGAGGGATAGTGGAGGCAACTGGAGGGCACATGTGAGATAAAGGCAACTGGAGGGCACATGTGAAAGAAAGCTGTGTATTGGAAGTAAAAAACCCCGTTCGGTCTAGTGAATGCTCAGCTGGCCAGGCTGCCACTCGTCGACTGGACAGGGGCGGGGTGCCGCTAAATAGGTTGTCGACAATCGTTATGGAAGTCCACTCAGGGACGGGCACGGAGCTGGAGAGCAGTATGGTCCGTCTTGCTGGGTGATAGGGATGTCAGTTGAATGGTTTGGCTACGCGTTTCAAAGCTCTATGCCTCTTTGTCAAACTAGCAATACATTCACTAGAACGGGCAGGAGATGCAGAGGTTTTTAAAAAATGACAGGTGGGCGGGACTTTAGATCGTGAGCGACTGCTATTGGCCGATTGTGCAGGGTGGGTTGGTCATAGCAAATGATAGACGGCATTGAAGCCGCTTACTTTGAAAAAGATCGTAAGTACATGTTTAAAAAGTATTTGATAAAAAGTATTTGATAAAAATGGTTACAATTGGAAGTAACACGGAACCTACTATATTGTTGTTCCAGAATAAGTAAAACATTGGTTGTGGCAATATTGTATCTCAAGTGTCTGGATCTTTTATTTATTTATTTTTATTGATATGTTGTCACAATATAATATTTGGTTAAAAAGGAGGGGAAAGGTGCAAACAAAGTGGGTTGTGTAGAGAACTTTGTTTTAAAATCGTATGGAGCTAAAACAATAATGGGATATAACTATATAAACAAATGTAAAACCGATTTTCCATATAGTATCTCAAGTGTCTGGATTTCATATTTATTTTATTATCACAATATTTGATTCGTATAATGTTTGTTTAAAAAAGAGGGGGGGGGGGGAAATAAAAGTAAGTTATGTAAAGGGTTTTGTTTAAAAAGTTATTATCAGGATTTGCCTAACTAAACGATTTTTTGTGTATGGAAGCATGTTGCATCCATTTTTCTTTTTGTCTTTCTACATTGCTTTGTTAGAAAGTGATTTATTCGTTTGTTTAAAAACATACTATTTGAAGTATTTGTGTAGGGCTCAGAAAACTGTTGGATCGGGATTTTTATAGGATGGTTTGTATTTCTATTTCCTCATTGAGACCGGTTGGTACTAGGGTATTTAATTTATAAGGGTGCTAAGTGAGTAGGTATATGTTCGATGGCGAACACATGCAAAGCGTGAATATTTTTGTAGTGTTTTGCTGCAAAATGCCGAGGGACGCTGTTCAGTGTCTCCCTTTTCTATGAAGCGTCTGTGTTCCCCGATGCGTTTGCGTAGTGAACGTATAATAGGTCCAACATACATCAAACCGCAGGGGCATGTTAATCCGTATACATGTACGTGTACATGTGATAAATTGTCTGGTGTTGTAAGTGTTGTAAGTATGGTCCCTGAATGTTGTTTGACCGTGATGAATAAATTGACAGGTGAGACACTTTGTTTTTTTGAACCGAAATGTCCCAACCCTGTTGTCAAACTAAAAGTTTTTAGTACTTGTTTTTGGTTCTTTCAGTAGTTTACTCGGTGCAACTATATTCTTAATATTTGTTTTGTTTTTCTTAAAGTTAATGTAAGGTCTAGATGGTAGAAGGGGACCTAGTTTTGGATCCTTCAAACCCCTTCATGACTGAGGCCCTTTTTTAATTTTTTGCACCCATGTTATATTCCACATTTTTTGCCAGTTTTTGTGGAGGACTTTCTCGATGGCCTTATAACTATTGTTATATGTAGTGATGAACCTAACTTGATTGTCTTTAGGTAAAGGTTGATACTGATCAGCAGTTTTTGGTGTAGCTGTTTTTAGATATGTGGAAAACGCATTTTTGATCAATTCTTCAGGATATTCTTTCTCCTTGAATTTGTTCGTGAGAAGGAGACTAGAGGCAGTGTAGTCTGATTTGTCGGTGCAATTTCTACTGAGTCGACAGAACTGGCTCTTAGCGATGTTGTTTTTCCATCGGGGGTGGTGGCAACTGTGGTAATTAAGGTATGAATTTCCCCCTATGGGTTTTCTATGGTTTTTTGTGATGATCTGATTGTTTTTGGTGGTGAGTTCAAGGTCTAGAACAGGGGTGCCCATAAGGTCGATCGCGATCTACCAGTCGATCGCGTAGCGATCACTGGTAGATCGCCATGTCCTCTCCTCCCACCACTTCTCTGGATCCCCGCTGCTCTCCCCAGCGGGGATCCGAGAAGAAGTGAAGGAACTGGCGGCGGGGGAGGGCGGAGGAGGGCGGAGGACAGAGCCGCTGTCACTAACTAATGCAGAGCAGTGAGGAGAGAGAGAGAGAGACACTCGGCCAGGATCTGACAGCCGGGACCTCTCTCTCCCCTCACTGCTCGTCCTCTATAGAGGGTCCCATTGTGCATTGCTGCAACAGTACTTTATACAACATTAGGCTAGAAATAATAATTATTTTAATGAATTATTTACCCCCCGAACCTCTTCTGGCCGGTCTTCTGTCTTCATCTGTTCACTATGTGATTTCTGTTTGCTGGGTCCTCACTGCCGTCCGAGGCCCCTGTGTCGGATGAACGGATGATCCGACACTCTCTGCGCAGAGATGGGGGGCCTTCTGGCCACCGACCCGGTGCTGGGACTGTGCTGGGCCCCCTAGAGGCTCTGGTGCGCCCGCACCGGCGGTAGTTCTGCCACTGCTTATGTGGGCTGAAGGGGCAGCTGCTTTGGGCCCCACAACAATGATTGGGCCCTGGGCGACTGCCCCTTTTGCCCTGCGTTAAAGACGGCCCTGACTGGAATGTAAGCAGGCCGACTCCCTGCGTTCCGGTGCGGGAGGGGGTGTGGAGCTGTATTGAAGTCAATGGCATCGGCCACAGTGCGATCAGCCGCACTCGGAACGCAGGCACATTAGTGCCTGCATTCCGGTCCAGTGCGATCTGCAAAAATAGTGCTCGCAGCATTTTTGCGGATCGCACTGGACTGGAACACAGGCACTAATGCAGGCGATCGCACTGTGGGCGAGGGGCCTGCCTGCGCAGCCCACGCCCCCTCCCGCCCCTGAATGCAGGTGTTTTTTCGTTGGTAGATCTCAATGAGCTCGTCATTTGAAAAGTAGATCTCCAGACGAAAAATAGTGGGCGTCCCTGGTCTAGAAAGACTTAATTCGTCAGTGCTAACGACATGGGTGAAGGATAGGCCTAGCTTATTGTTATTGCAATGATGGACAAAATCCAACACGTTTTCTGGTGGGCCATCCCAGATAACTGTTGGCGCTATATAAATACTATGTAATAATAATAATAATAATGACTATGTCATCTATGTATCTCTCATAGAAGACTAGATGTTTGGCATGAGGGTTGTTCTTCCATATGTGGTGGTCTTCCCAGTAGCACATGGTGAGATTGGCATAACTGGGTGCGTAATTGGCGCCCATGACTGTCCCGTTGATTTGTAGATAGAATTTGTCAAGGAAGGAAAAATAGTTATGGTTAAGTGTAAATTGGGTGCATTCCAATATCCTGAAGGATTGATCAAAAATGTGTTTTCCACATATCTAAAAACTCACTAGACCGAACGGGGTTTTTTACTTCCAATACACAGCTGGTTTTTTTTTTCACATGTGCCCTCCAGTTGCCTCCACTATCCCTCCTCCATCATCAAGGGATTAAATAAGAATTGACAAGTCTCCGATCATATCCGCACAGATCAGCCGCATGAGCCCTTGTTTCAAGCCTACAACATTACCCACCCTCCATCGGCAAGACAACATCTCGTGCATCTACAAGTGAGTCCCTATTTGCAGATACCATTGTAAGGTTTATAATCTGTTTTAATAAGACAAATATCCGGGTTGCAGCGCTCCTTTTTTTGCTTAAATGTTTTAGGTGAGGTTCACGAAGTGCATCCTCTGGTGTAGGAATCTCCTCCCTGTCATTAGGTAACTGATTGCACTCAATGAGACTAGGAATCCTGCTTGAAGAGCTTTGCTTTGGGCTTCTGCGTCGGCTTGAAGAGTTTTGCTTTGGGCTTCTGCCTCTGCTTGAAGAGTTTTGCTTTGGGCTTCTGCCTCTGCTTGAAGAGTTTTGCTTTGAGCTTCCATCTCTGCTTCTTTC